TGTCTTTTTCGCCCCCCCCGTGTATGTTCCGTAGCGAGGAACGAAGAGGGTATCCTTCCTTTTCGGTGCCCTTAGTCGTCTTTGTTGCTCTTCTTATCGAAATTCATTTCATCACGCCTGGTCAGTGTGGCGGAATTATGCTTTTGCATAATTCAATTATTTTGACAAATCTCGAGCTTCTTTCGGTTGGTCTTTTATTGTTTTACTCGTCGCGATTTCTTCTTCCTTCCGTCGAGCGAATTGCTTTTCCTCATTTTTTCACGCTTTTCAGATGACGATTTCAAAACTTGTCTTCTCCCTAGCGCTTCTGATCCACATGACAGGTGCATCAGTTTTTGAGTGCTATTTACAGAGGAAAAAATCGCTCTCAGTTTCGATTTGAAGATCTCATCCAGTAGGGGGGGGGCATGTGCTGCTACACTTCAGACCGCTCAAGAAATTAGATTCCTTTTCGCAGAAGTAACGGCGCAATCAGGGTGGGTGCTGAGGTGAAAGCGAATGGAAATCACACTCAAGGTAATTTCGCACCCCACCCCTCCTGCAAAAATTGAAATTCCAACTCGGCAGCAACTGTTGCACCACATGCCCTCGCCACTACCTTATTAAGATCCTTATTTCAAGCGAAAAGTTTCAGCAGCAGCTCCCGGTTTAATTTTTTATGTTCACTGACCACATTTTTTTGACACTTCTGGGGTGAGAGCGTGATTTGTTGCAGTGTAATGGATAAGTACGTTGTTAGAAAGCGGAGCACAGATTAGAAACTTCCCGAGACCGAAGCTTTCCCATTGAGCCACCATTCAGCGTCTTGTGATAATTAATGGATGAGGTGAAGAAACTAGCATCACCCTTCCATTGAACCATGGTCCACTGGAAACAAGCAGTAACTATGGTAACTGCTCAAACTTGAGTGCACGTACCACAAGGGGCTCTTCTCAACTGGAATCCTGCGTCCAATTCGAGCTATTTATTACACTTTTGATTTGTTTCTGCTTGATAACTACTCTTTTTGGCCGCAGTTCACCATACGAAAGTTATCGCAAGAATTCTGACCTTGGCAAATCTTAGCTCCAGGCGGGAGCGAACCCGCCACTCGTGCTTCCTGCTGCCACTGCGGATTACCGATTCACCTTTTCCATGTAGTCGTTTGATCGGCAGCACACCTGCCCGGAAGCGAGTGCGAGTTCGATTCCAATCTGAGGCAAAGAGTTTTGCCTATAACCCAACATTCTTGTAATAATTTTGTTTCATTTACATTATTTATAGCAACAAGGGGCTCATTATATCTGCTATTTATTCATGGTGCGTTTTCAGCCTAGTAAGCAGAGGTGGCGTAGTGGCAAGTGGCGCTACTGACCACGCGCGCGGTCCGCGGATCAATTCCTGGGTCGTGAGTCGCCCGGGCCAACCAAGCCCTTCCCCCCGGGGTCGGTTAATTGGTACCAGACTTGTCTGGGAGGATAAAGACACTGACTTGTACATCGGCTGGCCCCCGCAAGTCATTGTATAGGCCACATCGCATTCAAATTGCCACTGCGAATGTACAAATGGAAGTAGAATGCGTGGCGCATCTTCAAAACGGAATTGATTAACGCCGACGGCTTCATTTTATCCTTATTCAGTCTAGTATGAGTTGTCTCTGTGAGCAAAGTGTTATGCTAACTTCATGTGCAAGAAAAATACTGATGTTATTTACTTATTTATTATATTTATTTATTCATTCATGTTGTTCGATGTATTTATTTATTCATCATTAATTTATTTATTCAATTTTCACAGTGAATGTGCACAAGCAATATCAGTTGTAACCAATATACAAATAATGAATTAGTTAGTCAATTAAGGGGCATGAAAGCGGCT